AGGATTGCGTTTGGGAGGGTTTCTTACTTTTTTTCTCAGTTAAAAAACTAATGCCAGATTCCTATAGAGGCAGTTTAACCACTGCTATTACTGTGTTTGTGACTGGTTACCACACATGAGCTTTGTCATTAAAATTAGGCTGTTAGAAGCAGCCAGTTTCTTGAAGAATTAGAGACAACATTGGGGGAAGTGATTTCTTCGAAAACAAAACCTGAATCAAATAATATGTTTCCAATCATACCAGATGGGGCCCACTTCTTCTGTGTCTTTTAATAGGGTAAACTAGGAGAGATGTGACTGAAGGCAATAACAGTTCACACTGGTACAGTTGGTGAGGATTAAAGGAGACTCAGGTCAATCATTTATTAATTGCTCAGTGTTCCTACTCCGCCTCTAAACTTTTCATTCAGACTTGGTTTTGACTTTTGCACAAAGTTGCAGTCTTGTAAAGGGTGTGGATCTGACTGTCCTGGACCAAAAGAGTCCTCAGGTTTAGGGTATTTGAAAATTAGAGTTCGATTTCGAGCCTTTTCTCCTTACCTATACACTCTGTAAGCTGCTGGGTTTGAAATGTACTGTCGTAGCTTGTGCAGAACGGGCTGAAAATGAACGTTTCACAGTCTGAAGGCGATGCCCTTCCTTTGGCTTGTGGCCACACCCGAGTAACCAGCCCATAGTAAGGTTTTCCTGAATGTCATGGGCAAAAGCAGCTTAGCCAAGTCCCTCTGCATTAAAATTACCCAAGCTCCACTCTTGTGACATGGACAAATTTGACTTTATTTACACTTAAATGACCTTTGCTGAGTAGAAATACTCAGAAGCCAGATTTAGCAAAGTATTTATGTACCGGAAAGGGCAAATGACTAGGATGATTTTGAAGTATATCTTTGAGTTCAAGATCTAAAGCCAATGCTTAGTGACTTTATTATTAGGATTTAAGCATTTCACCCACACGGGTACTTCCCTAAAGCCTGTCTTCATCCTCAAGAGTCTGAATACTTTTGTAAATCTATTTGGGGATCTCTTTTCACAATGACATTTAGGCTCCCAAGTCACCTGACATTTTTGAAACCTCCACAGCTAGTGTCTCGTTATCTACAAGAGAAAATTATGCAACTATCTCAGTACCTAAAGAAGAGGGTTGGGAATTAGGAGTCTGGTTCTCCTCCCAGCACTGTTGCTGACTTGTTATTTGACCTTCAGACATTCCAGCTTTCGGCCCTGCAGGTGATGCTGGTTGCAGCGAGCTGTTGCAAAGCCCAGCGGTGTTTTTGCAGAAGGGTTGTAGAAGCACGTGCTGCACAAAGACAGAGATAATGATGCAGATGCGTATCAAAGTGGGGCTGGCTTTCGGGTACCCAGGAGGGTCGCATCCTGTGCACGCTGGCAAATTTGCAAATGCGTACTGCTCTAAAACTATGAATGTGGGGCTGAGTTTAATTGCTTCTTGGGGTTTGTAGTGAGAGCTGTGACAGCCCTGGCTTTTGCTGGTGGGTTTGGGCTGTAAGTGACAGACATTCAGTGGAGGATTATGCAATTTTCCATTCATTACCCATGAGCGCCGTCACAGGCTGTAATCCATCGTGTTAGAGATTGTGACCCTTTGAATGAGTGACTGTGGTGCTCGTACCATGCTAATTCACTGTACGTTTTGGGGCGTGGTTTTTCACTTTGTTGTAAGGGACTCTTCTGCATCCCTGTTGGTTGTCGATCCAGTTTACTTTGCTCTCCAGCAGGCAGAGGGTATTTCCGTCACCCACCCAGGGCTTGTGAACCCCAGGACAGGCAATCTGCCGGTGTAAATCTGTGTGGTCAGCGGCGCTGGGAAGCATTGAATGCCAGTAGGAGTAAAGGTTCACCATGCACGAGGCTATAAAATCCTCCAACTGGTCGAAAATATTCTGCATATTCATCTCCATTTCAAAGAAAATTGAAACTGGCTTAGAGAAGTTGCTTGAAAATAATGACTGGTGACATCCTTGTAGGTGGCTTTGAACGCCATGAAATAGCGGTAAAGGGTTGGATTCTGCCACCCACAATCATTTCAGGTATTTCTTTTGCTCTGCTGTAAAGCCTGGTGTGGAGCAGGGTGAAGTCTCACCCCTCCAGTCCTCCTCTTGTAGCTGCTTTTATTAAACATGCGTCTTTGCTGTCAGTGTGAATAAAGGGAGGAGAGAGCAGTTCATTATCCAGTGTATCACTTTGAGTCTAATACTAATTAAAAGCTTTGCCTTCACTTCTGTGGAACCTATTCTTGGAAATTATGTAAATTAATTGGAGTTCTGAAGAGGAGCATATGCCAAATACGAAGTAATTCCCTGTTGGCTGAGACAACTCCCGCACTGGAACTGGAGAACGGCATCAGGATCTTTTTTTTTCCTTTTGTGGCTGCAGAAATCTAAGCCTGCTTTGGTAAATTTTGATGCCTCTTTAGCAAATATACGAGAAAGATCAAATATCCAGAGCCTGACCATTTGCCAGAGAGGTACAATACAAAGGCTTTTTCTCCATGAAAGCTTTTCCATCTCAAAAATGACATTTAACACAGACAAGCTTTTTGCTTTCGCAGTCCTTCTCCAAACAAATGTATGTTCCTGCTTCAAAAAGGATTTTGACCCTCAAAAGGGAGACGACGTACCTGAGAGCCCATGAACTCCCCTTGTGAGTTCACTCTTGCAATTAATTTAATGGGGAAGATACTTACATGTTGCGCTGAATGAGAAGGGAGATTTGATCTTCAGGTACATAGTGTGTGGAGAAAAGGGGATATGTGTTTGAAGTAAAGTAGCTTTAAATATTACTGGGTTTGTGGGGTTTTTTTTGTTGTTTTTGTTTGGTTTTTTTTTCCTGCTTTATTATTTTTTCCTTTTGAAAAAGGCCAAAACAAATAGAAGAAGAACCAAAGAAGTGGAATCGAATAAAAATAAGAAGCAATATGGTTTGGTCTCAATAATATTTTGGTCTCAATCAACAAATCACTTAAAGTTGATGAACCTACTTGCATGTTTAAAGATAAACATGATTAAGTACTTCGGTGGATCTTGGCTTGTTATGTATTGAAGCTGGATACAGGCGTGAGTTGAATCCTGGTACTTTTGACGGGAAGGTGCTGCAGAGTAAGCTTACTTCCAGCTGTACATTTTGCAAAGTCGCCTTTTCTTTACAACCTCACCCTCAGGATTAAGAGATGCCGGGTGTGGATCCTCATGCAGGAGGAGGCAGCCCTTCGGTCCAGACACTTTTTGCCTTTGGAGTTTTGAAGTTCAGTGCTGGCAAGGTCTGATTTTTGCAGCCATCATCTCTTCCCAGCTGAAGCCTTTTCAGTATTAAAGATGGCAATTTTGATAACCCATCTGTCCGATGAGTCTGCGGCACTGCACAACCTCTGGATATAAGGAGCCAGATTCTCGTCCTTGATTCAGACTTTTATTCAATGAAAACATTGTGCAAAGTTGCTAGAAATGAGTCTCCTGTGACTGCCAGCAAGCGCAAGTATGGCTGAAGGTAACGCTACACTGCGGCACACCCAGACTTCTGAATGTCTGCTTCTTCAGCCATTAGTTCACTAACCATTATTTCTAAATCTTCCTCAGCTTCCCCATCAGTATATACTTCTGCTGTGAGACTAAATCCATTATGATTTTTTTTTTTGACTGCTTTTTGGTTCTCACAGGAAAGTCTCCATAACATTGCAAGTTGGTAAGATGAAGACGACAATTCGTTTAGCCGTGGTTGGAGCATGGATAAAAATCCTTATTTCTAATGGCATTCAGGAATATAAGATTCCCAAAATAGAACTTGTTAAGTTTACAAGTGAAGACAGTTCTTGGGGAAAGAACACAATGACACACAAGTTTGGATCAATAGAAAATCATTTTAGAACAAGAATACAACATGTAGCAGTGAATGTAGATGGGAATGGCATTGCTAACGACTTATACGTGAAGAAAGCTTGCTATCTAATTTTGGAGTCGTGTGGATATGTGTGTTAAATATAACATCATCTATTTTTGTGCTTGTATTGGCTAATGCACCGATGGTTTAGAAATACTGTAGGACTTCTTTCTTGAATAAACACAAAATACGATCGTTACTCTGGAACTAGAGTACTGGTTTGTACAGCTATTAGACAGGGGTCATAGAGATGGAGTAATTTGATAGAAGTTAAACACTAAATTGGTGGCAGATCAGGGAGTCGAACCTGGGTTGCTTCTGAATTTCAGGACTGCATCCTGCTGCCATCCCCAAAGCTGCTGTGTGCAGCCCTCTGGGTGCATCCAGGTTTGATCCTGGGTGAGTGTTGTGGTGGGCATGTCCCCGAACACAGCTGCTTGTCTTCCCACCAGCATGCTCTCTTGTAGTCCTCACTTTGGATACGAGTTCATTGTCTGGACCTTAGTGCACCTTTAGTCTCCTGGCTGAAGAAAAGACCTTTCCATCTTGCAGCACATCAAAACTAGCCTGGGTCTTTATTTTGGCACCCGGTAGGAGCTGGACATCCATCAGGGTAAACTGGGGCCATCCTGAGCTGTTTGCACTAATGTTCTGGGGGAGCTTAGGTTGAGTCCTGACACCTCTGGACCTCTAAGTTGCTCTCAGATGGTAGTGACTGCCAGAGGTAAAGAGGCTCTGCCCAGGGGAGATTTTCAAGTAGCCAGTGCTCAGGGTTGTTCTCATTTGCGTGATCTCCTTGTTGACTAAGTTCAAGCGTGATCTCCTTGTTGACTAAGTTCAAGCTAGATGCTGCTGATGAGATGGAAGCACACTGTGCTTTAGATATGATGGGCTTGCTCCTGCAGATCTCTGCTCTAGGAGCCAGGCTGTCCCCTCTCTTGCTGGCGTGAAAAGAACATAGACCAGGAGTGCCCAGTTGGAGCTGGGAGTCAATCCGGTAATAACCTAGGTGACGCATGTAAAATAGATTTTTCAAATGTATCAACCTCTCCTCGGTGGATGGTGCTGACACGCTGTGTGTTCCTCTTCCCTATCTCTTCCCGCAGGACCATGCTGATTTGAGAAACCACTTCTTCACTGTGGGGATGAAGCTGGAGGCAGTGAATATGAGGGAGCCATTTCATATCTGTCCTGCATCAGTGACCAAGGTGAGCTCCCAGAAAGGAGAGCTGAAAAGTGCCTGATTAGGATCCTCTTACGGATTTCCACCACATTTAGGAAAACTCCAGAGTGTTGCTTAATTGGCTGTAGAACACATTAAGAAAAATGTTTAAAATCCATATTAATCCTTATTATTGGAAAGTTTCTGTTCAACGGGCATCACCAGGTGACTATATATGCACTTAGATCCCATGGGGAACGTGTCTATCTACCACTTCCATGCAGGAAAAAGGGGATCCCTCCTTTATCCCTGCCTCCCCTGTCTTTTCCTCCTGGGAAACTTGAAATAAAACAGCTGGAAGAAGAGGGGTAGTTGGATATTTAATCCACACTCTCAAAGGCAAGAGAGAGGAAGCGTCTGGGGTCTCTAGGATCTCCTCCAGTCCCTGCTCGGCTGTGAGCACACTGAGCGGTCCTGAACCCCAGCACTTTCCTTTGTCTCAGCTTGCCCATCCCTAAAACTCAGGCTTTGATCTCTTTGGTAGAAATACTTTGTGGAGAAGTATTAGGTGAGAGCAGGTTATTTTCAGGGTACTTTGATTTCAGGGTCGGTCTGTTTCAGCTTTCCATGTTTTGTAATGTTACAGCAAATTTAACTTCTGATTTTTTTCTCTTTTACCCCTTAGGTTTTTAACAATCATTATTTACAAGTGACCATTGATGACCTGAGATCTGAACCCAGCAAAATCTCAATGCTTTGCCATGCGGATTCCTTAGGGATCTTGCCAATACAGTGGTGCCTTAAAAACGGAGTCAATCTCACACCTCCCAAGGGTTCGTATTCCTTCTCGGTGATTCTCAGGTTTCCTTTGAAGGGATTTTACTTGTTATTAGTGCCCTTAAAACAGTGATGCTGTTCGCTGCAGAGCATCACCCTGAGTGTCTCAAGCCAGAGTAGCTCTGTTGAGTCACTGGGTCTGTTCTGGTTCATACCAGCCCATGAACATCTTTGCAAACGTGTCTTGTGGGTGGATGGATGTCCATGTGCTTTGTAGTCGGAAGCAGGCCACACCAAAGCCTAGTGAATTCCTGTGGAGTGCATCTTAGCAATGCTTTGTGTGTGTAAGGAGGAAAAGGACCGTTAAAAGTTGTATCTAGAGGCAAATCAGGCATCTCACTATAGCATCCACCTTGGTACAACGCAGAGGCCAAGCGAGGCTCCTAAATCTGAACCTCTAAACTAAACTCGCAGCTGCCTGCCCAGGAGTGTTGAGACATTTCCTTAGCTGTCTCAAAAAAAATCCGCAGTGAAGACAAATTGCAAGCAGTGTTTAGGTCGGAGCCAGGAGAAACAGCCTCCGATGGTGCTATTTCCCAACTTTGTAGCAGTGCAGTTAATTACTTGCAATTTCAGACAGCCACCTGCAGTGCCTCAGCCATATTTCTTCGCTTGCAAAATATGTTGGTTCTCTGGAATTTTAGATTTATTTTTTTTTTTAAGCTGACTGGGATGTTGACCCTTAGCCAGAAATTGGTGTTGCTTGGGAGAAAAAGAAATGCCTCAAAAAAAAAAAAAAAATCCCACTAAATTTCGCACGTGCAGATTTGTCTTAAATTTGGAAAAAGTATGCTGCTGCTGCTCAACCCAGGTTATTCCCTACCAGATTCAGAGTCCTCCTGTGTATATCCAGAGTGTCACTTCAGCACATGAAATTTGAAATTCCCACCAAAGTCCTGTGCGTGCAGCTGCATACGGTGCATCCATGATTAGTCTGTTGCTTTTACTGAAATGGATGTGCCGTCTGGATACTTCAGCTCCCTCCTGCTCAAGTCCAGGTGTAATGATAATGCCTGTGTAAAGTGCTCACTGACACTGACCTGAAAAGTTGCTAAAAATGAAAGTAAGCAGAATGTTTTGGTTTTTCCACCCTGAATTCACATGCAGCTTCCCCCAGACCAGCTAATTAATTAAAGCAGACCATAGGTCAGACATTTCTTTTTACAGGGTCATGGCCTAATAATTTCTAATCCAAGCTGGCACAAAGCCTGTCTGAGATGATTTTTTTTTTTTTTTTTCATGGGTCATGTGCATGCAAATTCACTTTTAGGTGCCAGAATTTTTGGAAATGTCATACAGATACTTCTCAACTTGGCCAGTAAGGTCTAAGGGGCAAGTAGTTATCTGGTGACTGGGGTCCACCTGGGCTCCTAAGAAGGTGTAGAAAGTCTTCCCTCATTCCTCTGATGAAAATAGAGTTTCCTTCCTGCTGTCAGGTCAGAAGTCCTGGAGGGAAGCTATTAAAAAGGCACGAAGTAAGTGACAGCTAGATTCATGCTACGTACTGCTGTATTTCTTACTCTGTGTATGAGGACTGCATGCCCAAACTGCATTTTAGCACCTTTCGGTGTCAAAAACCTCTTCCATCGTTAGACATGCTGTTTGAGTCACTGAAATATAATCAGACATCAGAATGATTTCTTTTTTTTTTTTTTTTAAAAAAAAAGAAAACCAACAGCCAAACAAAACGACAAAAAAATGTCAAACCACCAAAAAAAAAAAAAAAAAA